CCCCCTGTTACTGTTTACTCCTACGCAAGGAGGTACTCCGGTTCATTTTCCTTTACTATTTCATAAATGATGTACTACATGATACCTCATCAATTTGTACATTTTTATGTTTTTATGTATCAGTTTAATGTTTTTAATTCAAAAGAAATTAAGTAAATTTATTATTTTTACAAAGTAAAAAGAGAGCATATCGAGTCACTAAATAAAAATATGGGACAGCTGATTCAATTCAGATTTCGCACTTTGATCTTAGCCATAGGCCTGAGAAGCAATTAAATTTGGGTATCAGATCAACAACAAATAATGTATGGTGGGTACCGATTCTAAAAGATTTGCAGATGTTCTAAAGTCCAAATTTAAGGCTGGGCCTTGTGGTGCACACCTGTAATCCCAGCACTTGGGAGGCTGAGGCAAGAAGATTGCCACTAGTCTGAGGCCAGCCTGGACTACCCAACAAGACCATTTCAAAGAAAAAAGAATAAAATCCAAATTTTACTGGCTGTCCTGTATTTTTATTTGCAAATCCGACATCTCTGTACCCTTTACCTAGTTGCACCCTAGCTAACACTGATACAGTCTTTTCTTTCCCATATCCTTATATGTGCAGGCTTTTTTTTTACCCAAGAAAGGGGTGGACTATTTTGCAAACTAAGTTCCATTTAACAATATCCCCTGAACAAATTTTCATGGCACTCTTTTTTGTAGGAGGGGAGGGGATTGAGACAGGGTCTCACTATGTAGTTCAGGGTGGCTTTGAACTCACTATGCAGCTCAGGTTGGCCTCAAACATACCAGGATCCTCCTGCCTCAGCCTCCCAAGTGCTGGGATTACAGGCATGCGCCCCCACGCCTGGCAGCACTATCTTCTTTATGGTCTAGTTCTCATGCTATCCTGATGTGAGACGTTTAGACGCCTGGAGGCCAGTAGAACTCCTTGGCTGCCTATTTTTTCCAGGTCCAGCGGTTCCTCTCCTGGTTTTACTGCCGTGGGCTGTCCATGTTCTTGGCTGTTTGTAGCACCCAGGGAGGTACCAGTCTCAGTTCTGCAACACAAGTTGGCATGGGTGTCACCATGGATCCGGCTTATGGATCAGGCATTCGACTGTGGGGCCCTGCCCTGGCACTTGCCACGTGCCGGCTCCGGGGCCTTGGCTGTGGTTTGGCTGCCACCCCAGTGATCACCCCAATGATCATTCGGCTGTGAGGTTGAGCCTCTCCTCCCCGCTAGATGGCAGCCTCCTCCCGGGCAAGAATCCGCACGCCCGTCTCAGTCACCACTCTATCCTTATAGGACACACACTCACTGCTTGTGCACCAGAGGTGCCCCAAATCCGCGTGCTGGACAAATGACCCACAAATCAGAAAATGGAAGAGTCTCTGATATCTGGGAGCCAGGGTGGTGGGAAGGAGGTGCGAGCTTTGGGTCAGACTTGCTCTACAGATTTCTAGCTGTATGACTTTTTTTGTTTTATTTTGTGTTTTTGTCTTTTGTCTTTGAAACAGTGTCTCACTATGCAGTTCAGGCTGACCTCAAACTCTCAGTGATCCTCCTGCCTCAGCCTCCTGAGTGCTGGGATTACAGGCGTTCACCACATCTGTCTCTGTATTTATTTCTTATTGCTGCAAATTAGTTCATCCTTAGTGGCTTAAAACAATGCAGATTTGTTCATGTATAGTTCTGTAGGTCGAGGTTAGCGCTCACTGAGCTAAAAGCAAGGTGTCAAGAGGGCTGAGGTTCTTTCTTGAAGATGGAGCAGAAAATCCATTTGTCCCATTTTCCTGCCTCTAAAGGTCATTCCCGCTGCGCAGCCCACACCCCTTCCCCCCAAGTTCAAGGCCAACACCCCACCATCCTTCAGGGTCCCCTCCCTTTGAAGTATCCTTGGGATCATATTGAGCCCACCTGGCTAATCCAGAGTTGTCTGTTTCAAAATCAAGGATAGGATATAATTCCTTCTATAACCTTCCCCTTCCCCAGGGAGCCTAACACATTCAGAGGTTCCAGGGATGAGGATGTGGGCATCTTCGAGGAACCATTATGCCGCCTACCACAGACCTAGAGCAAGTCTATAACCTCCGAGAATTCATTTGTTTATAAAATAGAGTTCCTGAGCCAGGCATGGTGGCGCACCCCTGTTATCCCAGCACTCGGGAGGCTGAGACAGGAGGACCAGCACAGGTTCAACACCACCCTGGACTATACAGTGAGTTCAAGTCCATTTGAATTACAGAGCGAGCCCCTATCTCAAAAAATAAATAAATAAATAAATTTAAAGAAATACATAAAAGAGTTCCTGCGGGGGCTGGTGTGGGCCTTGGGCACAGCGATTCTAGTAGTTTTCTAAGGCTGTGACAGGTCACCTCTACACTTAGTAGTCAGCAGAGGTCAGAAGTGAGCAGCACCGTTGAGTGGTTCCAGGGTCACCGAGGAGACATCTGCCAAGGCCCCCGAGTTAATGGAAGACTGGGGCTCCCTCAGTGGCCCCTAGCAGGCGGCCCCAGGTTCCTCCCATGTTACCCTTCCCCAGGGCTGCAAGATTCCTCACAGCTCAGCAGCTGGTGACCCCAGCATCTGGACAAACTTCTGGCCTTTTCATCCAAGCAGGACCTTTCAACTTTCCTAAACGAGAAACAGTTGCTTTTATGATTTCTGAACTAGTAAAAAGACTGTTCTCCCATCCTCCCAGATTCTTTTCTTCTCAATGTCCTTTTACTTTGAAAATATTTTGCTGTGACTTTTTAAGTCAGAAAGTTACAAACCTTCAAGGAAAGAATTAGTCATTTGGGTGAAATATAAATTCCCCTCCTCTTCTCACCATGCCCTTTAATCTGTGTACTCAGAAGGCTTTGCAATCCAAAGAATTAAGGCAAGTAGGCCGGGAGTGGTGGCACACGCCAGTAATCCCAGCACTCGGGAGGCTGAGGCAGGAGGATCACTGGGAGTTTGAGACCAGCCTGGGCTGCAAAATAAGCTCAAAGCCAGACTGAACTGCATAGCAAAACCTTGTCTCAAAAAGACAAAAAAAAAAAAAAAAAAGCAAGTTAGGTGGCGGTCCTACTGCTTCTCTCCCCGCCCCCAACCCTAGTATCAGCCTCCTGAAGCCAAGGTGTGGTGGGAGGCTCAGCTCCACATCCCTGCCTCAGGGAGCCTGGGTACAGTGGCGTGGTGGGTGGGCACAGTCAGGCCTGGGGCAAAACCTCAGCCCTACCATGCCTAGATCTAGAAGAAACAAAGGACTATCGCTGCTAAGCCAGTGTGTTTTGGGTCCCTTTGTTACATCAGTTTAAAGGTAACCATGGAGGAGTCTGAAATGTGCACTCAAGACTCTTCTTTTTTGTGGGTTTTTTGTTTGTTTGTTTGGTTGGTTTTTTTTCTGTCTTTTTGAGACAGGGTCTCCCATGGAGTCCAGGCTGGCCCTCAACTCACTATGTAGCCTATGCTGGCCTCAAACTTGCAGCAATCCTCCTGCCTCAGCCTCCCAAGTGCCGGGATGACAACCATGCGCCACCACGCCTGGCTCAGACTCTTCGTTTTTAACACCAGCTAACGGGGCCCCTGCCATTACTACTACTTCTTGAATCAAGTCTCCCTACCACCAACCACCCCAAAAGCTCCCAAAAGGGCTGGGCCCACAGGGCCTGGGGATGGCTAGACTCCAGCCTGATCATCCATCCCCCTCACTAAGGTCCCAAGGAGGCTGGCAGCCCTGCCACCTCTCTCCCCTCTGCCACACTGTGGCTTCGTTGTGCCAGGGGCTGATGAAGAGGAATCCCAGTGAGATGTCCTGGCCTCTGGCAAGTGCCCACATGTGGCTGGATGAGCAGCGGTCACGGTGCTGCCCGTAGCAGGCTTTGCGATGCTTCTCTGCACGGCAGGGACAGAGCAGATCAAATGGGAGGAGAGTCTGAGACCATAGCTCCTTTAGGGAGCGGTCCTCTCAGGACTTTATGGTAAAAGCTGATTTAGAAAGCACAAGTCAAAGCACAGTGAGGTCTCCCGGCTCTCAAGGAAGCTGTCTGGAGCGCTAGGCTGTCTGGTGGGCTCGCTGGTCAGGCCCGTCTGAGGTGAAAGTTCAGCAGCACTTGTCCCTCTTCTCTAGTGACCCAGCCCCACGAAGTCCTGACAGGGACCTTTCAGACGTGCTCAGCTAAGGGGAAGGGGCTGGAAGGGGCTCCCCAACCCTGACAAGGTGGGCGTTAGGCTTTTCAGGCTTTTATTAGGATTTCGGCTTAGTTTTCTGATAGCTTGCTTTTTAGTCTTTTTTTTTTTTTTTTTTTTTTTTTTGTCTTTTTGAGACAGGGTCTTGCTATGCAGTTCAGGCTGGCCTTGAGCTCACTTTGTAGCCCAACGAACTCCCAACGATCCTCCTGCCTCAGCCTCCCAAGTGCTGGGATGACAGGTGTGCACCACCACGCCCGGCTCAGTCATTTATTTGTATACTTTTAACGATAGTTTAGAAGTCCGCACAGTTAATTTTTTTAAAGAAAACTAAAAAAAGGAACCTTGGGGTTCCCCAACCTTGGGGTCCCTCTGCCCCACCTCCTCAGGCTCTTGCTCATCCCATGGCAAGGTAGCTGAGTTTTGGCTTTGGGTTTTGCTTTGCTGAGGATCTTTGCTGTCACTTTGACTGGCCTTGGGGCACCCACAGAAGACTGGAACTGAGGGATCCTAAATCCGTCTCCGGCACCCCCATCATCGGATAACAGGCCCGGGCCACTGCTCCCAGCTCACCCAGACAGCAGCAGACTGAAATGGAGCAGAACCTGCCTGCCGGACCCCAGCCGCCCAGAAAGGCCGCTTTGTTTAAATTCCAGGGCAGAGGCACCCTCATCAATGGCTTTGTAAATACCCTGGGCGCACACAGATCCGTTTGGTTTGGGCAAAAAGCTCTACCCGTGGGATAAGCATCAGTGCCTTTGAAAGCCACACCCATGCAAAATGAGGGAGAAAGGAAACAGCCAGCGTTAGTTACACCAGCGTTCGTTCAACAAGCAACGTCCCTCCGTCGGCCAGGAGAGGTAGGGCGCGGGGGTATTGTGACATGCTCCAGGAAGGGCAGCTTTTCTCTCGGCCAACAGAGGCCGGAGGCCATTGGGGCAAGGGAGCCGGCTGGGCATGGAGCAGCCGATTGGGGCGCAGCCCTCGGAGGGCCCTCAGGAGGAGTCCGCTGAGGAGCAGGAGGACATGCCGGCCCCGTCTGCCGAAGGTCGTGGCCAGGTGCTGCTGATAGGCGGGTACTGGAAGCAGGACGAGTGCTGTGCGACCCTGCAGGACTTCGGCGGATCCTCGTCCCGCCGCGCCACCATCCGTCCCAGCAGCTCCACTGACTGCGCCAGGAGGGGTCTCAAGCGCTCAGGCGACAGCGTGGCGCACGGCTCTGACGGCCCGGCGGCCAAGTCCCCGCGCTTGGAGGAGAAGCCGCAGCGCGCCAAGCCCAAGCCCCAGGCCCAGCCCGCGGACGCGAGAGAGCACCAGACGGCCGGAGCTCCGCCCGAGACCCCCGGCTCGGCGGAGCGGGGGGCGAACCTGGTCCTCGTGCTGTGCAGCGCGCGTGCGCTTTGCACGCAGCTGCTGCGGGTGCAGCTGCTGCTGGGCAAGGTGCGTGCCCGGCAGCGCCGCCCACCCACGGCGCTCCTCGGGGTCGTCGTGCAGCCGCGGCCGGAGGAGGAGGCCGAGGCGCGCCGCCGCCTGGAGAGCCTGCTCTGCAGCGTCTTCGCGCCGCACGGCCGGGCCGCGGAGGTGCACACCGCGGTGTTCCGCCCCGGCCGCGCTCAGGGCAGCCTGGACGTGCAGCGCGCCGCCAGCCAGGCGCCCGGAGTCCACCTGGTGGATCGCCAGACCCAGACGGATGGTGAGGGGCCGAGGGTGGGCTGGAACGTTCGGCCGGGAGGGCCTTGGGTGGGCTGCCGTCCGGAGTCCTGTCCCTGACCCTGCGCTCCCCGGGAACAGCCGCGTCCCCTCCTCGCCTCGCGGCCTGCTGGGTTGGGACACCACTTGAACGGGAGGTGAGCTCGCCCTCTTTTCCCCGATGTGCGGTGTGCGCACTGGGACGATCTCAGCTGTTTCAGTGAACCTAACTCGGAGGGCAAGACCTCCCACTCGTCGGCCCCACCCACCGCTTGGGGTGTTGACCCCCACTACTGCCAGTCGGTCTTTTGTAAACTCCTGATGGGGATTTCGCTGGAACAAGGGCCACCCGCTCCTCCTCGCAGGGACGGAGTCCTCCCGGGAACAATAATCACAACACAAGCCTGCTCTCGCGAGCCCCGCGCTGTCAGAAGTCTTTTTCTGGGCCAGTGCTCACAGCGGCCCTGGTCTGTCCGTGCTTGGAGAGCAGCCGGCCTCCTGCAGTTTGTCCCTTTGCTGCTGGAGCTTGGACTCAGGGTCTTCCTCACTCTGCGCTCATCCCAAGCCCTTTTTAATTTTTTTTTTTTTTTTATTTTAGAGACAGTATCTTACCAAACTGGCTCTTGGGGCTGAGCTTGAACTTGAAATTCCCCTGCCTCAGCCTCCAGAGTTCTCACCACCAGGTCTCCGGACCCTTCTAGCAAGGACTCCAGGCCTGTGGCAGTGGGATGTGGGGCCGCTCACACGAGCCGCGAGCCCTTCTGTCTTGGGGGCCCTTCCAGGCAGGAGCAGGGACCGAGAGGCTGGGGGCCAGCAGTGAGCTCTACCCGCTCTACCTGGTGACCAGCGCCAGTGTCCTCTCCATGTGACTTGTTCCCATGTGACAGCGAGGTGAAGGACCAGGCGATGTCTGAGGTGCCCTCCAGCTTCAGGACGAATGTCGAGGCACCTGCGGGGATTTTCCCAGCCCTGGGGGCTTGTCCTGAGTTCTGAGCTTCCCGCCCCGAGACTTGTCCTCCTGTCCCCCCTCAGTGGCCTACAGCAGTTCCACGGGGCCAGCGCTTCTGGTCAGGAAGGCCCCTGCCTACGCACTCTTCCAACGGTGCCTCTCAGCCGGGGCCAGACCCATCCCAGGCCGTCTGTGGCCCAGCCCCTTGGCGATTAAGTCTCTTGGGTGCTTGTTGCCTTTACCCCCACCCAGCCTGCCTCACCCTCGTTCAGTTCGTGCAGCTTGTGCTGAGCCCCTGCTAGACGCTGGCCCTCCCTGGTCCCCACAGTCCGGGGTGCAGGGTTAGAATTCTGTCCCTGTTGAGAACGTGATCAGTGTCATACGGACCGACTCCGGGGCCCAAAAAGCAAAGCTGGCTTCCCACGGGTCCCTTTGAGAGGGATCGAAACCATGGGAAGCATTTGGACAGAGCTAGTGGTGATAGCGGGAAATGAGCTGTGTTTCCCAGACCTCTGCGCTCACGGTTGGCAGTGCTGGACACGGGAAGCAACACAGAGGCCCATAAGCCTGGGTGATGGCGTGGTAGGGGTTCCCCAGCAGGAGGCGGAGGGCAGGGAAGGCGCTGTGGGGAACAGCGACGGCTGTGCCGTGCTGTGTTCTTCCGGGAAGCCTCTGTCCCGGGAGTGCTTCTTCCTGTGTCGGGCAGCACCCGGTCTGAAGGCTCTGCCCTCAGTGTTTCCTCGGCCTCCCGGGAACAGAGACCTGTGCGGCATGCTGTTTCTCTCCTTCAGATGAAATGGCATCCCTTTCATGGCTGCCTGGGAGTTCTGCCAGTGTTTGACTCATTTAAACCAGTGGTTCATCAACCGGGGCAGTGTTGACATCCCCTCCTACCCCTACAAAGGAATGGCAAAGCTTTTGGAGCTTTCAGTGATACGAGCAGCCAGCGTGCCGTGGGTTTGCCACCACTGCCCCAGGACACTGAGCAATGTCAGGAGACATTTTGCTTGACATGGGGTCGACAGTATTAGTGAGTCGAGGCCAGAGATGCTGCTAAACCTCTGGCGACACGCAGGACAACCCACAAGAAGGAATTTTCCCGCCCAAACGTCGGTAGGGCTGAGGCTGAGAAACCCCAATTCAAACCAGGTGGAAAATCCTCAGCTGAAGCCCAGTGGTGCCGGTAGCGGTTTTGCAGAGATGAATGCCTTAGGAGTGCTGGACCCATCTGCCTAATTCCGTGGGTCCCAGGCCTGAGTGTGGATTCCCCTCCAGGCACCCCTTGCTCTTGACCTTGGAGTTACCCTTTCTTACAGTTCACCTGCTCCCTCAGCTTCCTTACTCCGCACCACCAGGTCAGCCAAATAGAATCCAGCCCCACTGAGCGCGCTTCCCTGCACTGCTCATCCTTCATGCCTTTGTCTTCTTCCATCTTCCCATTCAAGGGACTTTTTCCTTCATTCATTTCAAGATCTATATAATTGATTCCCTCTTGCCTGCTGGGGTCATGGAAAGAAAGAGCCCTGGACTGGAATTTGGCCCTGTCCGTGCCCCAACCAGTTGTGTGACCATAGAAAATTTAACTTCTCTGGACATCAGTATTCTCCTCTGCAAAAAAAAAAAAAAAAAAAAAAAAAAAGATTATTGTGGCCGGGCATGGTGGTGCAAGCTGGGAATCTCAGCACTCGGGAGGCTGAGCCAGGCGGGTCACTGCAAGTTCAAGGCTAACCTGTGCTACGTAGTGAGTTCAAGCCCAGCTGAACTACATACTGAGACCCTGTCTCAAAAAGGAAAACAAACAAAAAAAAATCATTAAACTTTTTGCAGGATCTAGAAGTCCCAAACTAGGTCCTGTCATTTCACTGTTGATGATGGGTCCAGCCTTGTGTGGGGACCCCTTGGAGCACTTTCTATGTAGCTGGCTGTACCCCAAATCATGTCGTGGGTAGGGTCACCCTCTGGCAGGCTGCAGGGAGTCGGGTAGAGTTGACAGCGCACTTGCACCAGGATGTGCTTTGCACTGAAAATTCTGTCTCCCTGGGAGCGTGTTTTATGTTGCAAAATGTGAGGTTGAGTCTTGTCACAGTACTTTTCATTCTCCCATCCTGAAATGGGAACCACGTTACTTGTGCAGAGAAAGCTTCACGGTCGATTTGACCCGACCAGAGTGGGGCTTCAGAGGTCATCACTGATTTGCCAGTGTCATGAGTTTGAGCTAATCTTTGTTTTCTGAGTGGCTGGTATGTTGTAATGGAGATGTCTGTGGGGAAGGCAGGGGTTTAATGCAGTTGGGAACCCCCGAGCTCCTCTCCCCTCCCTTTGGAGGAAGGCAGAGCTACTCAGAGACAAAAGGGCTTTGGTCTGTGGGATGTAAAGTGCTCAAAGAAGCCTACATCTTCGGGAGCCTTTCTGAAGGCCTGGAGAGCGAAGCTGTCTGGGGTTTTGCTTTTACATCTGGGAATCAGCGACAGAGCTGAGTGTCCCAGCCCGTGTGTCTCATAGTAAAGAGGAAGTTCAGGGAGCCCCAGCAGCGCGCTAGGGAGAGGTACCTGACGGTGGTGCCCAGGTCCCAGGATCCTGGGGTCCAGTTGTCACGTGTTCCCCTGACAGGCTTAGCGCGGCCCGCAGGGGACAGAGTGACTCGCATCCTCTGCCCGTCCCGGCAGCTTGGGAGGAGGAACGACGGCAGGTGGTGGCCTGCAGAGAGCCCTCCCTGGAGCCCCAGCCATGGGAACCACCTGGCTTCTGTGACCTCACAGGGGGTGTGGATGACTGTGCCCTGTGGGACCCGGGTCCAGTCAGAGGCCAGAGCCACACCTGGAGGGCAGAGGACAGGCGGTCTCTCTGCTGGAGCCGAGGCAGCTCCATGGACGCCCACATTTAACTCGGGCGGCCCCACCATGAAGAAGGTCAAGAAGAAAAAGGTGAAGACCGAGACCAGGCGCCGCCGGGAGTCCATATCCCAACAGACCAGCTCGGACTCCAGCACACAGCCCAGCTCCGACGCCACCCAGCCCAGCTCCAACACCACGCAGCCCAGCTCCGAGGCCTCACGGCCAAAGCCGGTCACCGAGCCCACCCCACCGCAGCCGTGCAGGGAGCCCAGCACCCAGCAGCTGTGTCCCAAGCCCGCCCAGCCGCAGCCACAGCCGCAGCCGCAGCCGCAGCCAGAAGCCCAAGCTCTCCCAGCGCCCAAGACCTACCACTCCACCGGGAGCCTCTCCGCTCCCAGCCCCAAAGCAGCTCCGCCACCCAGGAAAGCAGGTGCGCCCACATCTCACCTGCACAGGTCTAGTCTCCTGGGGCAGGTCCCTAGGGGGCCGAGGGGCCAGTTAACGTGCGCTCTGGAGCTGTGCTGGTGAAGCATGCAGGTTTTTGTTGTTATTTTGACCTGAAAGACCAGGATTCCTGGGTTTTGTGTTTCCTCAGCATCCCGAGTCTCACGGAAGACAGTACATATTTATTAACCTTCATCTCGGCTCCGTACCAGTACTAGCTCATTAGGAGCCAGTGATACTGTGTGGATGCTGGAAAACTAAAACCAAGGACACATTAATAGAAGTATCTGGTTTAAAACAAAGGAGATGGCTTCACCGTGTTACTCCGACCTCATCAGGCTGTCCTCATGGGCTGCAAACGATGCCTAACAACCAAGATCAGAGAAGCTGGTCCTGGCGAGGGAGGTGGACGGGGATGGGGAGCTGAGAACCGAGTGGTCTGTGAGGGAGTTAGAGGGTGTCAGTCAGGTGCAAGGTGGGAGTAGAGTTGCCGTTGTGCCCAGGAGTCTAAGGCCGGTGGAGAGGGTGGCCAGGTACAAACAGCCCCCAGCCAGACTTTGATTTCAGACACACAGTGTGTAGTTCACGTGTCCCCGGTGCTGCGTGGCCGGCCTGCATTTTTATTTGCTGAATTGCTGACCCACAGGCTCTAGAAGCAGACAGGTTTCTGCTCAGTGTAAACAATCCCGCTGGAATCACGTCTTCCCCAGAGGGGCGTGGCTGTCTGAGCAAAGTGGTTGGTCCGTCGTCCTGAGTAGCTGGAGAGGCTGAGTTAGTGCTGGACTCAGGGGGACGCGAGTGGCGTTAGGAGCGGGCGGTGCTGTTCTGGTACTCACATCCTGGTGCCTGCTCCCTGCAGTGTCACCCAGCACTTACTGTGTGTCCGGCCGTCCAAGTTCATCTACTCATCGGATAGCCTTATTGGGAAGGGACTGTCCCTGTCCCCATTTTATAGATGGAGAAACTAAGGCTCACAGGAGTCAGACAGCTTGCTCTGGAGCAGCCCTGTTAGCACTCCAGAGTCCTTGCCCTGAACCACAGCTCGGCCACTCAGTTCCAGGAGACTCGAGCTCTCCCCAGGAAAGAGAATGACCTGCCCGGGGCCTCTCATGCAAGATGGGAGTTTGTTTGCACTGAGCAGGCCGCGCCCTCTGGGATGCTGAGCAAAGAGAGTAACCCAAAGGTTGCCATGACAACAGGCTCCTGTGGCTAAGAATCCACCAGCCTCAGCCCAAGGCCACGGGTCTGAGTGCTGCAGAAGGTGTCCAGCGCGCCGTGAGCATGGGCCACAGAGCAGCATTTCAGCACCACAGTCCTTGGAACTGGGATTGTAGGAAGCAAAACTTTTCATTCCCACATCTTGTAAAGACAGCCTGGGGCTCTGTCTCAGAGAGGAGTTTCACTTACTAAGGAAACCAAGCAAGATTCCCTGGTGGCTAGGCAGTGACCACGGTTGACCCCTGCACTCCTTCCGGAGGAATTGTCCTCTGAGCCAGTGTGGAAAAGAACATTGGAGATACGGGATGGAGACCTTTAAGTAAAGGAAGTAATTTCTAAAATCAAGACTGTTTGTGTACAAAATATGGCCACTCAAACAAAGATAAGACCCCGCTAGGATGACTGTAATAAAAAAGATGGTCAATAGAGCTAAGGACAGCAGTGCACACCTGTAATCCCAGCTCAGAGGATGAGGCAGGAGGAGTACAAGTTCAAGCCCAGCCTAGCAAGATCTTGTCTCAAAGATCTGTGCAAAGATCTGTGCAACCTAGCAAGATCTTGTCTCAAAATAAAGGCCAGTATGGGGCTCAATGTTAGAGCACTTATTCGAGGCCCTAGGTTCAATCCCCAGTACCACAAAAACAAAATTTTAAAAATTGTACAGTTACAGATGTTGCTGAGGATGTGGAGAAACTGGAAACTATGAAATGGTGCAGCTGCTGAGGAAAACTGGGAAACTGGCAGTTCCTCAAAAGTTAAAAAGTTGCTGCCGGGTAGTGGCACATGCCTGTAATCGAAGCATTTGGGAGGCTGAGGCAGGAGGATCACCTCAAGTTCAAGACCATCCTGTGCTACATAGTTCGAGGTCAGCCTGAATTACATAGCGAGACCCTGTCTCAAAAAGCCAAAAGCAAAACAGAGTTGCCTTATGACCTAGCAATCTCACTCTTGAGCACAGACACAAGAGAATTCAAAACAACAGTCTTGGGCCGAGCATGATGGTACACGACTAAAATCCCAGCACCTGGGAGACTGAGGCAGAGGTACTGCATGAGTTCAAGGCCAGCACAGGCTACATAAGCAAGTTCAAGGTCAGCCTGAATGACATAGTGAGAGCCTATCTCAAAGAACAAAACCTCCAATCCCTACAAAATCTTGTACAAGAATGTTCATAGGAGCATTATTCATAATAACCAAAAAGTGGAAACAGCCCAAGTACCCATCAACTGATGGGTGGATGAACAAAATCTGGTATAATAGCACAATACAGCAAATGCAGTGAAAGACAAAAAACAAAAACAAAAAAAACAACAAAAACATTAGGCTGAATGAAAAAAGAGAGGTTCTCACCGACATGATTCCACGTGTCTGCATCTGAAATGCCCAGACTAGGCGATTTATTGCCAGGGACTTGGTGGGGGAGGAACCAGGGAGTGAATGCTAAGGTGGATATGATTTACTTTTTAGGAAATGAAAATGTCCCAAAATTAGGTGGTGGTGATGGTCACACAACTTTATGAGTATACACAACTAAAAGCCACTTAATACTCCTGAACGAGCGAATTTCATGGTCTGGGAATAATCAATTTTATTTTTTTTAACGAAAAGTAGGGAAACAAAGATGTACTGCCCTTGGAATCCCTTCCTTCCGCATTCCAGGAAGGGTGGGTGAAGTTCGCAGGAGCTCAGGCCTGAGGAATCCCTAGCCGGGTCTAGCTGGATTGGTAAGAGCTGAAAGTTACCCAGCTGGAAATCCTCTTGCCTAACAGCAGGGGGCGCCACCTCCACGTCCTGCTGGGATCCAGCCCAGAGGCCAGAAATGAGAGATCCCTTTGAGAAGTATTTCCAGGACTGCAAACCAGAGCAGCCTTGTCTTCTGCACGGCTCACAGCGCCCGCCTACCCAGAAGTGGAACGTGGCTGCTTCCCCTCTGGCAGGCTCCAAGCTCTCCTGGGTGGGCAGCCACCTGCTTGTCTCTCTTCCTGCCACATCTGTGGCCCCATTTCACTGGCTCCAAAGGTAGAAATCTCGAGTTGAAGTCAACTTCTGCAGCCTACTTGCTGTAAGGGCACAGCCCACATATCCCTTGAGCCTCAGTTTCCTTATTTGTAAAATGTACGATGGTTGTGATAATTAAATGAGATGGACAATGCCTGGAAGTGTGGAGGGACTGTGCCGAGGGACTGAGGTCCAGCTTGGGTAGTTGGGTGCCGCATCCTGGCTGAGGCCTTTAGACACTCTGGGTTTCCATGGTAACCCTGCAGCTGCCACATGTGTGCACGCAGCTTGGCGGCCAGGGAGCCTTCCCGAACTGTCCTCCTTTCTGTCCCTCGGCTCCCTGAGGCATGTGCATCCCTCATCTGTCCCTTTCTCTGTCCACCAGGGCCTGTGACCCCTGCGGGCCCGTGGCCCTGCTCCTGCGTTGCCTGCCCAGGCAGCTCCACTTGCTGGCGTCGCCTGGGGCTTTGCCACAGCCGCATCTTCGATGTCCTTCTGCCTCGGGATTGGCAGGCCATGCCAGGGAGAGGATTCCCCAACCTACTCACCTTCTACAGGTTCCCGGGCGCGTGGGGGGCTGGCGCCTGGGGCTCGGGTTCGCAGGGCGAGGCTCAGTCCCCAGCCCCTGGGAGCGGTCACGAGTAACTACCTCTGGGAATGACAGGCCACGCAGGCCCTTTCTGACCCAACCTGCATCTGGGGGACGCACCCACCTTTGCAGAGGGGTGCCTGTTTCTTTCCTTTCTGGGATCTTCTTTTCAGGCAGTTCCTTTTTCCTTTCCCTATAGACTCTCTCTGTTCCACAGAACACACTCCCGCCCCGATGTTGGGGCACACACCTGTAATCCCAGCACTCTGGGAGGCTGAGGCAGGAGGGTGGCAAGTTGAAGCCCAGCCTGGGCATCTTAGCGGTTTAGCAAAACCATGTCTTGAAATTTAAAAAAAAAAAAAAGTTCTTTTAAAGGGCTGAGGATGACTCCCTGGGTTCAATCCCCAGTACCAAAACAAAAAACAAAAGGCAAAGAAACATACAAAAAAGCTTACCTCCTTCATCAACTCCCTGGGACTTGGGAGCTTTTCGAGCTTCGATTGCTTGACCTGTCTAGGAATTTCCTGGAATTTAGTGATAAGAGCAGACTGTGACCCTAAGCCCCCTCCAGGTCACAGCAAGGCCTCAGCCACTTCCATCAGGCTGTTCCTGGGGTCTCCACTGGGGCCACACACCACCCCACCCCACCCCCCGGCTGCTCTGTGGATGGCACCCTCCCCGCCCCCACCCTGTCACCTGCAGTCCAGCCCACTTGTCCTCCTCCACAGAGCCATGCCAGGCCCGCCGCTGCCCCTCCTGAGAAGACACTGTGGCTGCAGACCCGGGGTTACTGTTATTGTTCTAGAACCGTCTCTACCCTGAACCGCGTGCAGTGGCTGGGGAGCCATGTCCTGGGCCCTTAGAGGCTGAACGAGAGACAGGAAGTGCCGCGTCCCCGGAGGTCCTGGGAGTTTCAGAACGAAACAGTGCTTGGGGTCCAGCTGGACACCTTGGGGTCCCCACGATGTAAGCTGAGCCTCAAAGAATCCTGGGATCCTCTATGGCTTAAATTGAAGAGGGAGATCCAAGTAGGCAGAGGAAAGGCAAAAACAAGGCTCAGAATCAACCTGAGATGAAATCTTGGCTCTTGGCTTAAGATTCGCATTCACATTAAATAAGAATCCCTACCTTTGTAGGAGTTCTAGCGAAAGGGTTGCATTTTTGGAATGCCTTCCTGGAAATGACTAGTGTGGTAGTATATTCTTTCCAGCCTTTGTAACCAGCGTAGTCTGTTATTTCCTGGGGTTCCTTATCTCTAAAATGGATGGTGGTGCACACATGTGTAATCCCAGTACTTGGGAGGCTGAGACAGGAGGGTCACGAGTGTTTGAGCTGGCCTGGGCTACATAGTGAGTTCAAAGCCAGTCTGGGCTACACAGCAAGACCCTGTCCCTCGCCCCACCAAAAAAAGAAAGAAAGAAAGAAAGAAAGAAAGAAAGAAAGAAAGAAAGAAAGAAAGAAAGAAAGAAAGAAAAGAAAGAAAGAAAGAAAGAGAGAAGAAATGCACAATTCACACACACATTGGAGTCAGAGGATAGGTCCTACCATCTAGGGCTATTGTGAGGACTGAGAGATCAAGGCGTGAGGGGTCCTCTCCCCCTCCAAACGCCAGGCCAGGCCAGGCCATCCTCAGGTCCCAGGGGGCTTTGTGTTGGAGATTTGTTGGAAGGGGCAGGAGAATAATGTTCCCTCAAGAGCAGGATCCAGAGGGGACCTCATAATTTCCACTTTCTCCCGGATGCAAAGTCCTCTTCTCCAAACCCCCTCCTGCTTGCTCCACAGAAAACCTCCCAAGAAACACTGCTTCCCTCGTGCTACAAGCCCTCGGGACTGTGGCTGTGGCTCTGGGGGCCCTGGGAGCTGCCTACTACATCACTGACGCCTGGTGACGAAGCCCAGGCCCGCGCCCAGCAGGTAGGAGGAGCCCCTGTCCCTTCTCTGAATGCAGGGGTCTCTGCGGGTGGGCCAAGCCCCTGAGCCTCTCAGGTCAGTGCCTCACTTCTGTCCTCTCAGGCAGCCCTGATGCTCGCGGAGGATGCTGGGCCCACTGTCAGGGCACCAGAGCGGACGCCTACCTCCTCCCGTGCCCCTTCTTCCCCGGGACAGCTCCCAGTACTCCTGGTCGTGGGTACTGGACTGGCGGTGTGGGAGGGCCGGGGGCAGGCCTTCCTTCCCCACCATCTCCTGTCTTCCTTCTGTCCTCTCCGTCACTGTGTTCTCCACGCTGGTCTGTGTCTCGCCGCACATGGCTCTGTGGTGTACATGTGATCTGACTTCCCAGCTATGCTACAAGATCCTTGAGGGCAAACGGCAGGCCTTGCTCTGCCGCCTCCACTCCCGCCCCACCTCAGCCAGGCTCTCAGAAGCAGAGCCTGGAGCAAGGATCAGGTGCACAGGAAGTGCTCTGAGGAAGGAGAAGGGGAGGGGAGAGAGGGCAAGGGAGGAGGTGAACAAGGCTTCAGCCGGATCCCAGGGGACCCCGGGACAAGAACTGCACCCCACAGCTGCGCTCACAAGAGGCGTGAGGCCTCCCCTTTGGCTCCCCATGAGACAGTCTGCCTTTGGCTGCAGGGTGGAGGCAGGGAGTGCATTTCTTTGTGGAAAAAGCAGCTCCACTCAGCCCTGGACCTCCACTGCTCCCAGGAGTGGGCAGAGAATGGGCACCCTGCAGCCCAGGGCTAGGAGTAGATGTTCAACTCGCTCAAAAGCTAACCCAGAAAATAGCTCCAGTGAGAGCTCGGCATCCTCCCCAGGCTGCACGCATCTGTTCCAGGGACACTTGTGGAGTAGAATTTGAGGCACCTGCCACCTCAGGAAGTACCACAGCAGTTAAGAGCCTCAGTTTTCCCATCTGTGACTAGGGAACGTCACCGTGCCTGCTCATTCGAGCTTGTTGGCAGTGACACGTCCTGCAGGACAGAGCTGGCGGCTGGCGGGTCTCAGCACTGCTGCTGTTGGGTGGTTGGAAAGATGCTGCCTTGGAGTTAGAGCCCATAGCTTCCAGCCCTGACAGTGTTACCAGAGGACCTGGGCAGCCTGACAGTCAGTGTTATCCCTAGCGGGGACAGCAACAGCCCCTCCCAGGGGTTCAGTGAAGGACCTGCAGAGGTGCAGGGCTGCTGTCGGGCTGGGGGACGGAGATACTGGCTGCACGAGGAGGGCACTGTATTGATGTTCCCTCCCCGAGGTTCCCTGCAGCAGAGCCCACTGTGGCTGAGTGAGTGTCCTAGTTACTTTTCTTCCCTGGGAAATAATACCCAACACCCACAAGTTAAAGGAAGATAGGTTTATTTTGCCTCACAGTTTGTAAAGGTCCAGTTCATGGTCTGCTGGCTCCCTGGCATGGCAGAGGGGCACCGCAGAGGAGAGTTATTCATGGCCAGCTGGCAGGAAGCAGAGAGGGATCAAGGGGGGAGGAGGGACAGAGAGACCCTTTCAGGCCACGCCCCCAGAGACCACCAGGCTCCACCCCCCAACATCACATTTGACTATAAATTCATCAGCATAGGAATCCACAGATGAATGTCACACCCCCATGACCCACTTACCTCCCCAAAGCCCCACATGTGAGCATTTGAGGCTTCGGGGGACATTGAGATGGAAACCATAATAGCACAGGTTCTGGAGGCACATGGGCTTGGGGTCCGAAGCCACTCAGTATCCAGAACCCCAGAGCATGGAGCAGGATCCTTGACCCCTTAACTCTTTTTTTTTTTTTTTTTTTTTTTTTTTTTGGTGCTGGGAATCAAACTCAGGACCTTGTGCTTGCCAGGCAGGCAGTTATGCCCCTGAGCTATATCCCTAGCACCTGACCCCTTAACTCTTAAATGGAGAGGATGGCTGGGCTTAGCAGCACAGCCTATAATCCCAGCACTTGGGAGGCTGAGGCAGGAAGATTGCTGAAAGTTCAGGGTCAGCCTGGGCTTTGTAGTGAGTTTAGAACCAGCCTGAACTACATAGTGAAACCTCATCTCAAACCACCACCCCCATGATGGAGACGATAATGGCACAACTCTCACTGGGAGCTTTGTGCAGTGGCATTATCGTAGCCCATGAGGTTTATCCAAGTCGTGACTACGGCTAATCAAAAACTTCTCATTGGGTTTAGAGGCCACTGAAAAAGTTCTCATGGACTGTTGGGCGCATGCTGGGCATGAGTTAAGCCTTCGGTGCCACAGCAGCAACATTACCATCTCTCGACAGTTCAGCAAACTTGATTGACTTTGATGCTTGTCATGTCACTTCATATTTTCCTTTAAACCAGCTTATTTTTTTTTTTTTACTTAAATGCTTTTTGTTGTTGTTGTTGGCACTAAAGAGTAAGCCCAGGGCTTTCACGCTGAGCTACATTCGCTGCTGTTTATTTGTTATCTTGAGACAGGGTCTTGCTAAGTCACTAAGTTGTCCAGGCTGGACTTGAACTTATGATTCTCCTGCCTCAGCATCGCAGAGTGCTGCTATTACAGGCTTGCATCACCCTGCCTGGAAATTTGTTTTTTTTTTTTTTTTTTTTTTTTTTTTTGTTTTTTGGTTTTTCTCCGGTACCGGGAACCGAACTCACGACCTTGCGCTTGCCAGGCAGGCGCTTTTTGCCGCTGAGCTAAATCCCCAGCCCCTGGAAATTTGTTTTTAAAGGAAATTTAGTCTGGCCATAAAGGAAAAGTCCTCCCACTTGTCATGAAAATTCGAACAGTAAAGACACACGCTCTGCAAAAGAAACGTCACGCGGGTACCTGATGAAGCCTCAGCCTTGCGGCCCGCCCCCTTGCTCAGCTTGCACAGGCTGCCCCACAGTGTGGGGTGTGGAGATGGCCCAGCTCCACCCTGAGACCCTGTCCTCCACCTCAAGCAGAGGGACGGAAGTGGGAGGACTTTGTCACTCTGTGTCACACAGAGTCCACCGGCAGAGCGGGGCCTGCGGCCGCTGGAGAGGAGAAGTTGTGTAGGGGGAAGAAGGAGGGGAAGCTGCACCCCCACCCCATGGCTGCAACTCAGCCTTGGTGACAAAGTCACTAAGCTTCTCATCTCCCAAGTTACCTGTGTTTGGGGGGACAGCAACTGGCCACTGGGGGCCTGGGTTGGGACAGTCATTGTGACATCGCTCTTTTCTCTAGTACTAGGGGTGACTCCAGGGCTTCCCCACAAAGCTTCAGCCCTAGTCCAGTTTTATTTTGAGCCAGGGTCTCACTAGGTTGCCCAAGCCCTGCATTCCTCTTGCCTCAGCCTCCCACGGTGCCAGCACACCCCTCTTGCTTGTACAGTGTCGCAGCCTCAGCAGTCCCGGAAGCGGCCCCTCCTCCTTAGTCCGGCCGGCCATGGGCCCCCTTGCCTGGGTGCAGGGTCAGGGCACGACTTTCTGGAGGAGGATGTGATGGCTCCAGGCTTGGGCTCCACTGTGGCCAGCCTACCCCAAAGGGAGTCGCCTGAGATGGGGCTGTGCCTGGAGGTTCTGGGGGTGCCTTTCCCCACGTTCCCCACGGCTTGTGCCTGAGGCCCTCAGCACGGAGATCCATGCCACTCAGCGTCTGGCTGCTGGACCTGGGTTCGGCTGAGCTCAGCAGGCCAGGGTCCTCTCAGGTCCCCCCCAGATGAAAGCACCACCACAAGTGCCCACCGACGCAGCAGGCGCAGCGGGGCCTTTCCGCCGGGTCGGAGTCCACTGAGCTCCCCCGGAGGCACAGGCGCGTGTTCCGCTGGCTTCGCCTCTCCCAGCGCCTCTGACTCCCACAGCCGCGCCAGCTCCGCTCCGTTCTGTCTCAGCCACTCGCATCCAACGCTTGACCTTTCTTTGTCATTGAAGCAGTTGGTACCCAGGTGTTCACTTTGTTAGTCTCTGTTCCTTTCCTTGATTTATTTTTCACTGGTGCACTTTACAGGTGCACAAGGGTCACATTCACCCCAGGATTCTGTGCCTGGCTGCTGCTTTTCCCCACTCCCCTCCCCTCTCTTCTACCCCACTCCCCTCGTTACTTACAAAAGCTTTGTTTTCACTTTTTTCCTTCTATTTCTTTCTTGTCCCTTCTTTCCTTTTCTCCTCCCCTTCCCTTGTTCTCCTTCTCATTTAAACATTTTCTCCCCATTTCCCAATAGCATGCACTTTGGTCCTTATTCACACTTTTGCTTTCTCACACCAGAGAAAGAATTCGATATTTAAACATGTGTGTCCAGTTTCTTTCACTTAAGAGTATGGTCTCAAGGTGCATCCATGTAGCTAGACATGTCTCGAATGTATCCTTCTTTATGGCAGAGTACTATTCCATTGTATAAAAAAACCACATCTTCTTTATCCATTCACCAGTTGACAGGCATCTGGGTTGTTTCCAAGATTTAGCTATGACAAACTGTGCAGCTAGAAACATGGGTGCACATATGTCTCTGTGGTACGATGCCTTTAATTCTTCTGGGAAGATACCCAGGAGGGGAATAGCTGAGTCAAATGGAAGCTCTACTTTTAGTTTTTGAGGAATCTCCACACTGATTTCCACAGTGGTCACACCAGTCTGCCTGCCTACCAACAGTGGAGAAGGGTTCCTTTTTCCTCACCACCCTGCCAGCATTTGTTATTGACTGATTTCTTGACGACAGCCATTCTTTCTGGGGTGAGATGGGATCTCTGCATTGTTTTAATTTGCATCTCTCAAATGATCGGTGAGGTTGAACACTTTTTCATATATTTGCTGTTTCTACTTCATCATCTGAGAAGTGTCTGTTCATTTCAATTGCCCATTTTTGAACTGGGTCTTTAAATTTGAGGGGTCTGATTTTTTTTTTTTTGAGTTCTTTATATATTCTAGATATTAGTTCTTTGTCTGAGGAACAGCTGGCAAAAGTTTTTCCCTGTGGGTGGCTCTTCACTCTGTTGGTGGTT